ATAAAACAAAATAAAATGAAACAACTTAAAATAAAGTAAAGCGACGTAAAACAAAATAATTAAAGGAGTGGAAATCCAGAAAGGTCTTTGTGAAGAGATATAACTGTCCTCAAATGAAGACAAAGTTCAAAAGTCACAAAGGGTAGAGCAAGAAGCAGTCTTACCCTGAAAGTGATTATACAAGGTAACCACATTATTTTTTTTTTCAGTTTTAATATTTGTTCAACTTTTAAAAGGAACACAAAAGTTAGGACAACATGACCCATAACCTGCAATCATCAAAATAAAATTAAATGCCTTTAAAAAGTTTTCTACTAAAGTTATTGGGAGGAACAAGGTCAGAAATAATGTGTAAACTGGGCCTTGTTTTATGAAAGGAAATGCTCTTTTGAGAAGTGATTACAATCTATGCAGGTTTCATTTTTGTAACCATCAAATTGGCAAGTGTGCATTTACTTTCTTACCCAAGATTTGCCTAACATAATTGAAGGAGAAACTCACTTCAGTAAGGCTCCTCCATTTAATTATTGCATCCAAAATTTATTAAAGAAAGAAAACAAAAACATTTGTGAGCCATGGGGACTGGTGGTAATTCAGGTACAGCAAACCAGGAGGATCTGCTGATTCCAGATGGAGTGGATATATTCCCATGGCACCTATTACTTGCCAAATGTTTCGTAAAGCAAACACATGACCTAAAAGATTTTGCAAGTGTGGGGTCTCAACGAAAAAAAAAAAAAAGGAAAAATTTAAAAAAAAAATACATACTTGCAAAAAAAAAATTCTGTTCTTATTTAAAAGTCATTTCTTAATTCCTAACCATAAGTTGTTTTTAAAAACACACACACTTTTAATATTTTTCAGCTGTCATGCCCACTTTAGTGAGTCTACATGTGTGGGTACTCCATAAAATCTCAGTGGTGGTAGCAGATGTCCCCTTTGAAATATTTCATCTGCTGCTGGGGGTGGGGGAGTGTCACTTTGGTGCCATGAACACCATTCCTTCTTAAGGCTCCGATTTGGGACAGCCTCTCTAGAGCAAAAGCAGCATTTCTTGATGTCACTCAAACCAATGGTACAAAAAGCAGAGAAACATATGAGAATGTCAAGATGAAAAAAGGAATTTTAAATAATAACACATTTATGAGGCCCTTTACAACTCCAAAAGGACTGCTGTAAAAATATCAGTAATTGTTATAATTGTTATGGAGGAATAAAAATGTATATCTGCTGTTTCAAAATTGTCTATGTGTGGAAGTCCCACCCACTCGGTAAAGACTTACCCAGTTGCTGCAGTCCTAGATTATCTCTTCCTTACTGCCCTCTGGAAGTTTCATTCTGTACATGCGTTTTAGTACTTAATTGCATAATGTCATCCTTTAATCCTTTAATTGGTTAGAGGTTTGGTGGTTTGGGAGGTTTTTTTTTTTTCCTATTTTGAATTAATCTGTATTCTTCCTCCTGCAAGGTGATTGCTCTACTGAACAGAAAATACTCAATACATATTTGGTTTGTTTTGCAAATATTAGTATGTATCTAGTATCAGCCAGGTTTTAAACAATTGTCACTGTTCCTTGCCCTCAAGAAGCATATATATTTCTGGTAGAGAAAGAGATGCTAAACCAATAAGTGGAAATATGAGCACAGTTACAGCCTGTGCTGAGAGCTGTGAAGGGAGCTCATGAGATGCTGGAAGAGACCCTATCTGCATTTAATGTAGACAGGGAGTGGGAGGAGGCAATGTTTCCTGAGGGACGGATGCTTCATTTTAGGGCCAATGGAATGAGTAGGAATTATCTAGGGAAAAGGAAACAAAGACATCTGGGATAGAAGAATGTGCAGGCTAGTGTCAAGAACTAAAATAAGACCAGTGTGTAGGAGAGCAATCAAAATAAAATGGAGGAAGATTCTGGAAAACTTAGAAGGATCCTGATCATGTAGATCTTCAAGGTTTATGATTAGTATACATAAATTATAAGATTATTTAAGATTTTTAGCCAGGGAATGACATGATCAGATTTACAGTGTTGTTTTCTTTATACCAGAGATTGAACCCAAGGGTGCTTTCCCAGTGAGCTACATCCTCAGTCCTTTTTACTTTTTTGTTTTGAAACAGGATTTTACTAGTTTGCTAAGGCTGGCCTTGAATTTGCCATCCTCCTGCCTCAGCCTCTAGAGTCTCTGGTATTCTAGGAATATGCCACCATACTAGTCCAATTTTACCTTTGAAGAAGAGCATTCGGGCTGCAGTAATGGATTAGAGAGAACAAATACAAAGACAGGGAGACTGAAGAGAAAAATATATATCATTAAATCAGGTAAGAAATAACACAGCAACAAGCTAGAGCAAATGAAGGAAAGGGCTGGACCTGTGTGAGGTACACTTGTAACATTAAATCATTAGGACTTGATGATGGATTTGACAAGAAGCTTGATGATGGATTTGACACGACATGACATGTAAACTTTGGTTTAAAACAACTAAGTAGGTGGTAGTATCATTTAAAAAATGAGAAAATAAAAGGAAAAGTAGGACTAGACTGGGAAGGCAAGGAAATCAGTAGTTGGCTTCCAGAGATTAAGTTTCAACTGTCCCTGAGGGTGTTGAAATAGAGGAGTCTGATAAGCATCTGGATAGAAGGTCCGAGCTCAAAAGAGAGATTTATATGGAAAAGGCAATTTGGAATCGTCAACCTATACTGCAACTGGGAAATGACACTGGACGAGTGTCCTCAGGGAGAAAAGAGGCAGGACAAAGAGAAGAGGGTCCAGCACAGATCCAGGAAGAATTCCAAACAGGAAGAGAAGGAGACTAGGAAAACAAACCCAAAGAGATGGAGAGAAGGAAAGTCAGGGTAGTGCAGAGTTCTCAAGGAAGAGAGTCTAGGAGCCTCACTAGATAGCCCTCATGAGAATCTGCTCAGTCACCCATCATGGCCTTCGATTCAAAGTGTCTTCCTCGGGTCATTGCAGTGGGAGGCTGTGCCTAAATTTTTTTTTTTTTTCCTGTTCGGTTGTTTTGTTTTGTTTTGTTTCTTCTGTCACCAATGCCTGCTTTAATATGTCTTTTTTTTTTTTCCTAGTTAGCATCACATGAGCTGCTCTGGAAAATAATTTCATATCTCTGTGAAACTATGTGAGTAATGAGATATTTTTCATTTCTAAGACACAATTTGGGAGTCAGGCCATCTTAAAGACAGACTCTAAATTTGGTGACAAAGTATCCAGTCATGGTCAGAAAATAGGCAATATTTATTTTATTATTCCCCTAGCAATTATTCTTTGCAGATTTGTGCTTTGAGGTGTGGTTTTATCTATCCATCCCTCATTCTATTTCTTATCTCAAAAAAATGATGATTTTGAAAGTTAACAACAATGGTGACACATACATAAAAATTAAAAAGAACTGTATTATATTGACAAAATTATTGATAGTTTTATGAACTATTAAAATTTCCCTTTAAGACCATATTAATTATATTGCTGGCAGGCATAATCTGGTGTAGTTATTTTAGAAAATCATTTAACATAGTTTTTTATTTCTTTAATAATAAATTTACACCAAAATTACACACAACTGAATTTCTACAAACTTAACACATGCCAAAAATATTCACTCACATCAAGAAACCAAACAATATTCGTACTTTAGAAGTTTCCTTGGCATACTCGTTCTAAAGTCTAACATTCACTTACCCTCTGGGAGAGAGCAATTCTATTTTCTCTCTTTGTGTACATGTACATATGAATACAGCTATTCAATGTACTTATATTGTATAGGTACACTCATATACATGTTTCCAACAAAAATTCTTGCATGTTGTTTCCAAAATAATTCTGTATTGCTCAGAATAAAATGGCTTGTAAATAGCCTAAAATTGCAAACATTCTTTATATCCATCATCTGAAAATGATAAATTATGGTATAATTTATACAATGGGATATAATACAGCAGAGAAAACAAGATGGATGAACTACCTCTAAGCAGAGCAATATGAAGAGATACTAGGACATAATGTTGATCTGAGAAGAGAAATTTTCAGAAGAGTGCAATTGTACAGCACCTTTTATTGAAGTTTAAAATAAAGAATAAGTGTTTAGGCATATGCATTTGTGTGACAAAACAAATGTCCAACAATAAACACAACATTACAGTGTTTTCCTCTGAGGCAGGCAGAAAGGTTAGAGAAGAGGTGCCCCAGGGCAAGTCGTAATATATTTCTGACATGAGGATGACTGTACTGATAGTTAAAATGGGGACTGCTAATACTTACATAAGGATAATACTAGTAACTGGGACTGTTCCAGTTAAACCAGGATATAGGGTAACTCTCATTGCTAGTAAGACTCGAATCCTTAGGTTAACTGGTATATTCATGGGTGTTCCTTCTATAGTAAGTAGCTAATCAAATAAATTAATATAAAACAGGACCATTAACCACCAATGACTTTAATCTGTCATGAATCAATTATTTATGATTGATCACTTTGGGATCTGAGTCCAAATGTAAATTATTTTTTGTTAGATTCAAAAATGTAAATGATTAGTGGAACACCTCTTAAAATTAATCCTTGAGAAGGATGGAACAGAGCAATTATTTCCTTAAACATATTCTAACTCAAACTAGGAAATTAAAGAGAAAGAATTTAGTAGAATCCAATCCCACTTGTTTTTCTCCCACAAGATTCTGAAAGTCAATGATCCCCATGTAGAAAATGTCATGAATCAAATGATTATTTAATTCACATACCTCACTGAGGTTGGCCTAATTACTTAGGAAATTCTGGCCATTTAGAGAACAAGTTGTAGCCTTCTATTAAGACAAAGTCATTGGATCCTGATTTAAGACCATCCTTCAATAGATACAGGGGTTGTGATATTTGGTTGCATCTTCAGATTTATACGGAATGATATTTGAAATATTTCATCACTGACATCACAAAGAAAACCAATAATACAACAGACCCTATCCTTGCTATGGAGCAGGATGCTGGAGTCCTGGAGTCTCCTTAATTCTAGATCTTAGAATTCCACATGAGTTCCAAGGAGAAATCCTGGGCCTAGAGTGATAGGGCATCCTCTAAGCTAAGAACTGACTAGCTGATGTGAGTAAGTCAATATTTTTAAAACTGCTAAAACCAGTGGTAGATGAATGATTTGTCTGGACTAAACTATAAATAATTTGGAATGTATTTTCAAAGAAATTGCTTTGCTTTCACTAATAGAGGGGAGAGGGGGTGGGGTGGGGTAGGTGTGGTTATTAGGGACTCCCCAAGGATCTTAGAAGCCAAAACATTATTAGTTTCATGAAAATCTACACCTAGCAATGGCCATTCAATTGGAACATCCAGATGAGACTGCACTAATTATTCCAAACCCCAGATTCTCAGCCTGAACCAGACAACATCAAGACCCATCACTACTGACCACCATGTCACAGTGGATTTAACTGGGTGCACTATTGGTTGTTGCTGTTTAGTTTGCACATGATTAAATGCTAAATTATATTTGATGCATTACATTAAGATTCTAACATTTGGGGGAAATGCCAGCTAACTACCTATCATTTTCCACTTACATTATGGTAGAATATGAAGCAACTTTGCCATCAGTTCTACCATCACAACACTTCCATAGCTTCCAAGCACTTCTGTTCCACAAACCCTAAAGGCATATGACATACGTTTGTTGTTGAAATAAATGAAGGCAAATCTGGATTTGAATTCTTGCTTTACCGATTTTCACCACACTATCTTTATTCCTCTTTAAAATGGAGAAATATGAAAAGCAGAAGGCTATTGTGAGGATTGCTAAGAATGAAACAAATTCAAATGGGAGATTCTCAAAAACTGTTGCTCCTGTCCTTTTTCTTCTCTGCAGACTTTAAGAACATCATGTCCTGAGTCTGTAACAAAAGGATGGGCTTTTCACTGCTAAAACAGATCTCAGAACTGACCAGGTTTCCAAACCACAAGAAAGGTCTAATTAAGCCAGTGTCAGCATTGTTCACTAACTCTACTTCAGTGCGACCTTCACATAAATGAAATGCTATCAAATGCTGTGAATTCCATGGAAATAATAAGTTGAGCATACAGGTAGTACCTCCATCTGATGTCTTTAAAAAAAGGAAAAAAAAAACTACATTGACTTTCCAAATAATGAAGAGAAAAACGAAAAACTGCTAGAGCAATATGCAAATTATAAAGTTTCTAGGACAATAAAACAAATATATGATAAATACTTTTTGGAACATAATAGGTATAACCTGTTTAAATGAGCAACTAATGTGGAATAAATATGAAAGCCCTTCTGTCTTAACACTTCAAGAAGAGATTGGATTTTTCAGAAATTGAAGAAAGTCAAAAGAACCAGAAAAATAGAAATGAAATAATACCATTATGCTCACTAATGAATTCTCAATTTTTGTTAATATCATCACTGAAGAATGTGTCCAATTTTATGTCCTGTATAAAATAAACATATTAATATTTGCTAAGTGTGTGAAAACCTTACCAATATTTGTTAACTTCTTTCTAAGAACCAACTTATGGGTGTTGTACATTTTATATTACACAGTCTAATCATTGCTATTTTATTTAAGTACTATCTTAAGTAATCCCCAATTCACCCATCTGGTAAAGAAATTTTATATGTAAAATCAAGACTTTCCTTTCCAATTATATTTCACTCTCTTTCTGAACCCCAATTTTTATATCTGTAATTATGAACAATGAGATCCTGAGAAGTAAATCCATTTCCACTTCTAGCTACACTTCAAATTATGGAATATTGAGCCTCTGTGGAATGATCAGCCTAAGAAAGATTTTCCCCTGGGTCTCACAGGATATATTTTACAACAGTTTAGGAGAGGAACCAATAGTTTTTATGATCCTCAGGAGCTTTGGATGGGTAGGAGACCACCAAGAAATGGGCTAAGTTTTCGGTTCTGTGGGTGTTACTAGAAGGGATTTGCTAAACCTACAAATTTCCTCTCCAGGTTACTATAAGCCAAGGTGACATATATGTAATATATATGTGTGGGTGATGTAATTGTGACAAATTATTTCTGTCAGGATGAATTTAAAATATATTTTATCCTAAATTGTTCTAAGAATATCAATAAAATAATATTTTCCAATTTATGAGAGTTTACTTTTTTACTTTCTAAAGAGACTTTGAGGATAATACGGACTCAATTTTTAGGCAAAAATGTTGCTTTTACATCTATAATTGTTTTACTTTAAGAATATCATTTTTTTTAAAGGACAAAATTCCTTAGGCACATGCTGCAAATGTCAGGAATCTTTGGAAATAAAAAATAAATAGCATTGTAACAACAAAAATTGACTATTAATGGTGAGAATTGTGAGAGAAAAAAAAACAGATTAATAGTAATAATAATAGTTAAACTTTAAAAATTTTTAGTTTGTTCATGGCATGTGGTAAGAGGCAATTTTATTCATTAATTTAATCTTCACAAACATTTATAATAGGAGATCAAAATTAAAACTTGAATTCAGATACTTGAAAAATCTATAGAATGACAGAGTATGATGAGAAAATAAAAACCCTCTTAGTCTACTCCATTAATACATACTTTCAAGTCCAGTATTAAAAACTACAACACTTACCCCATAGAGCCAGACCAATAAGGTTTCAGACACTTTAGGAAAGACCATTTGTGTCACCAGTCACATAACTATCCCCAACCAAGTGAGTTCCTGGTCAAGGGCACAAGGAACCCTTCTTGTGGAAAATGAAAGAAGCTCTCTTGTGATTAGAGAGACAGATGAGGGCTATCTCAGCTCTTCCTCCTTATTATGTATATATTAACAAATGATTTCACTTTTTTTCCTGTATTCATTCTATTTATATGTTGGTAATGCTTAAACTTGCATTTTAGTTCATAGCTCATCACACCCTGAAGAACCATATCTAAACAGTGTGATGTCACTTGAACCAATTTGACCTTGAGTAGATGATGACATCTTCTATGCCCCTTTGTGGAGAGCTGTGGAGGCAAATTCAGTTGTATTCTGGGTTTCATTTTTACTAGGTAGAAAAACAAAGTTGTTGTATGGGCATAAGTTTCAAATAGTGAAGCAGAATACATGCTTCTCAGAAGATGGGACAGATTATGACACTTCCACTTCTGTTCACAGATTCATTTCTCCTCGTACTCTGTTCTCAGGTGCTGACTTTTTCAAACATTACCCAGATTACTTTTGTCATCTACTCTCTAACTAGGTAGAGTAAGTGGGGAGCCCTGTTCAGTTTGGGGCCAATGGAAGAGAGAAATCAAGTTCTCGATCCCAACTTACCTGCTGCTTCAGGTAGAAGCTCTTTGGTGTCCTGAGCTTCCCATGCTTCCAAATTTAATCACGTTTCTAACAGTCCTTCCTACTGTGAGTTCACCTCCTTTGGCTGGCCCTGGTTCCTAGGTTTTTGTAAGATCCCTTTCTTTATATGCAAACCAGGTCAAGGAATGGTGACACTTTACAAATATATCTAAAGTGTCTGGGTAGACACACCATTCTCATTTGGGATTTCTTCTAATATCTGTGTGATATATTGTGTTTCTTAACATCAACTATCGGGTGCTGATTCTGTTTTCCTCCTTCGATATTTTTCAAAAATTTATTGATTATTTTTAGTTATGCATTTTGATTGTTAATGAAGTTACCTCAGTAGTTCAGGTGAAAGAAGACAACGATTTAAAGAAAGGTGTTATGGAGCCAGCAGTACAGATCAAGAGATCTGAAGAGAAAGAAATTGCTGATGTGTAATTGAAGGTATTGAGGAAATAAGTGAATCGAGGAGAAGTTTGCCTGGTCTTCTACTTCAAACAACTGCATAGGTAATGGCATCCTTTATTGAAATGAGTTAGAAAGTATTTTGAACGTTTTCATCATGAAGAAATGAGAAATGTTTGAGGACATAGATAAGCTTAACCCGATTTAAGCAGTTCATAAAGTATAAATGTATTAAAACTTACATGACATCTTATTATTATGTAAATTTTTTATGTTTTTAATATTATAAAAGAACTTAATTTAAATTTTTAAAAGAATTAAAAATTCCGTGTTGGATGTGTTCATTGTAAGATATATGTAAGATAGCAAATAGGTTTTTGTAGTGGACAGATGACTCATAGAACCTGGAGATTGGTGGAAACAGCCAGCCTCCTGTTTCCTCCTTTAGTTTCAAACTCTCTTCCATTCACAATTGACTTTTCAGTGGTGAGACAACAATTCCTTCTGTGATTATTGTCTCATGTGGTGAAAACTAGAATTTCTGGGAGTGTCTCCATTCAAACTGCAGTCCAATAGAGTGAAATAATTTGATTGATTATTTAAGTTTGCTATAAAGAATTTTACCCAATTCTGAGCTGGCAATAAAAGTGAGGATCTAACAAGGGAAATCTTGAAACAATATTCATGGGCTGGTTCTGATGCTGTGGGAGCTATGGGATGCCTAGTTACTCACCGCCTGTTGCCCTTCACACCATCTTGAGAAACTGCCCTCAGTCAACTTTCTCTTTTAGGATATAATTGGCTGGCTGACTTAGTTTCAGCTAAATTTCATCAGAGTAAAAATATGAGGAAAATAATTACCAACCTCAGAAAGAAAATTTAAAATATAAATAAAAAAATTAGAGGCAATTTGGTGCCAGACTAAGGGATATAAAAACATCACTCCTCATTTTTTCCTGTGAATTGAACTATAATCTCTTCCCAAATCTTTTCCCAAATAGTTACCAGCCATTCAGATATGAAAATATAATCAGGAGTCAGGAACGGGGTTTTTTTTGTGGGGGAGGGTAAAACTGGGGGTTGAATTCAAGGGCACCTGACCACTGAGCCACATCCCCAACCCTATTTTGTATTTTATTTAGAGACAGGGTCCAATCTGAGTTGCTCAGAGCCTTGATAAATTGCTGACGCTGGCTTTGAACTCCTGATCCTCCTGCCTCAGCCTCCCAAGCCACTGAGATCACAGGTGTGCGCTGCCACCCCAGGCAGGAGTCAGTAACTCATAACAAGATGAGAAAACATGAAAATATCATTGATATATATCTGAAAAGGCAATCAGGTGTCAAATCATGTTTTCTAAATTTCACACATTTATAGTTGGCAACTATATTTTCTTAAAAATCTTGTGCAATTTATCTAATCCAATAATCCAAAAAGGATTGTGACAAAATACGGAAATCCATTTCTGCATTCCTATAACAAATCTTTTCTTTATACTTTTGCTATATTCATGAAATTCCCAGTTGTGGTTTGTGGGCTTGAAGAGAGTGAGTGAGCAAGTGATTACTGGTGACATCATGCCCATTGATGGCTGGCCATTTTGTGGGGAAGGGGAGTAAGAAGAAGTAGGGAGGCATGGAGTGGGTGAGGATTGCCTCCTCATTAAGAAATCTTATGAAACTGAAGATTTACACATTTAAGACATCAGAGAAAGAATATGATACACTCATGAAAAAGAGTCAACTTCCCTAGTCTAGTTGTTCTCTGCCTTGTCAGCAGAAAAAATATTAATGCTGTCATTGCACATAAAAGGTAAAAGATAAAATGCAGGAATTTGCTGGTTTACTACAAAGACCATTCTCTTGGTTGGGGAAAATTGATGGAAATAACCTAAGCTGAGAAAAGCTCCCTATGAGGCATACATATTATGGGAAACTATTAAAGACAAAGTCTGGTCAGTGACCTTCTCCATATAGTTTAATCAAGCTGCAAGCACCACACCAAAAAAAAAAAGGGAGTGCTCGACAAACCAAGACATTTTACCTTTCTTCTATTACATGAGTAGAGTATAAGACACGAGTGGGCAGTAAATCCCTAGTTCATGCATTCAGAGGCTACACAATAATGATATACTATAAATCACAGAAAAAAAAATGTTACCTTTATTTCAGGACAGTCAATAGCTAGAAATGGGGCTCACCCATAGCACAGATGTCTAGTAGATATAAAAACAAATGCTTGGCAGTTGTTTAAAAACGGGAAGTATACGGATCTGACCTGAAATATATTAGAAAATAGAGGCAGTTTCATCATTTTGTCAGGTTTCCAGTTTTGCATTTCACTAGTTCGTTTTGAAATCCCACATTTCTGTTTTAGGAGATAGAACTGCAATTTTTGAAAATGGAAAACTAAAAATCTTTCGTGCATTTCTAAAATAACCATGTAAATGTTTGTGGATCATATACACACGCAAGAGTTCCTATGTAAATTTGTTTTTCTTTGAAAAGGTTAAGGGTAATTGAATGCTGAGAATTGAAGTCATGAGTTCGTAAACAAATGGGAGGCTCCAGCAGGGACCCAAGGGAGCTGGAACTAGGATTTCCATGTGCCAACTATTAGCTAATTGTGAAGATGACACTGACTGGCTGGACTTATAATCCACATCTCTCTGTCTGCCTGAGAAGAGCCTTTAAAAGAAGAAAATGCTCAGTTGCTGCCACTTTGATGGAGTTCTCTGAAATCCAGGAATGGGCAGTTGGACATGGAGAGCCCTCAAGTAACTGTCAGCACTAAGAGTCAAAGAAGCTTCTGATATGCCTGAGGGAGAGCTAGGAAACAGAGGAGGTGTTTTATGTGAAATAGAGATAATGAGCTACAATTTATTTACTACCTTTTTTTCCAATTTAATAGATGTCTGGAGAAATTAGAAATTTATATAGAAATTAATTACACTTTTTAAAAATCTTTTTTTTTCCTTTTGTCTTTCATTCTCTCTCTCTTTCCCTTGCCTCCCTCCCGATACTTTTTCTCTGGTGGGGTTGGTAGGCGGGGGGGTGGGGGGGTGGGGGGGGTGATTTGTCCAAAAATCAAGCAAGTTGATTTAAACAATTGAAGCTTTTTTTTTTCTTTTTCAAATTAAATGTTGATTTAAACAATTGAAATCTGGTCTTAACTTCCCAGAGGCTGAAAAGTTAGCTCAGTTTCCTGTGATTCTCTTGTGTCCTGGGTTTCACAGGGACGTGGATCTCAAGAATTAAAATACGATGAGAAAGTCTGTCCTACTAAGATTTTTCTCACCCTCAGCAGGAAAGTACCATACCAGAAATTTCACAAGAAAGTCTGTTCTCATGAGACTTGCAGCCAGGCTCTTAACCATTTTGATAAGTTCAGAAGAGCTTCAATCAAAGGGCTTTGAAATTCCCATCCCAAGTGACCCCATGGATCCCTTTGAGAGCCACCCAATACCGCTTCATAGTTCCCATAAACACTTGGACCTTTCCCTGCGAAAGCTGACAAGTTTTCCCGAAAGTCCTTACATACCACACTCAGCCTCATCTTGCCAAATGTGCTATCTCAGTGGAAACTGCTGGAACTTTCCAGACAATTTTGTGCAACAAGCAAAAAGTACCTCAGTCACCAATGTCCCCACACAGTTTTCTAAGACTGACAGCACCTACATATTTCATATGCTATGTTCAAATTCTCTTACCTTTTTTTTCCTGCCTCCAAAAGTATTGCTCTCATAATACTTTGTGAAAAATGTCTTGTAACTATAGTAATTACTGATGTCAACACCCTTGTTAATATTCTGGAACAGCAAACATTTCACATCAAATCTCCATGTAAAAAAGGGGACCATTCACCTCTCCTTTGTAAATTAGCTATATGATTTATCTGTGGGAAACATTTCAAAAATATAGATTCAGAAAGACATCTACCACATGATGGCTTTTCCATATGGCATCTCATAATTATTTTGCTGTGTGTGAACATGATGAAAACAGTTTCATAATTCTCCAAGGGTCAGAGTAAATTATTTCAATTAGACATATTTCAGAGCAAACATTACCTTAGGGTTTATTAATAATATTACCTGAGAAGGAACAGCTGCCTTTTATGCATAAAAAGCTGTCAACTTCTTACTGCTTCTTACTATAGAAACCCTTTTGTGACTTTAAAAAAAAAAAAATGGAAGATTTTCTCATGCTTTACCTAAACACAGAACTTGGCAGCAGGGACCTGGTTGTAATCCTCAGCATGGGAGCTAGTGGGTGGATTTTTTTCTCTATAAACTCTTGTATAAACCACACCAGTCTCCTGGTATTTATTCTGGGTAATACTGGAAATTGTACACAGATCCAACAGGCCATGTAAAGGAGTTTTGTAACTTCCTGAAGTCCTTTCATGAAAAAATCCTCATTCTGAATACAATTCCAGAAAGACTGGACATTATAGAAATTTGAAAGGAAAGGTTTATTCGGATGTCTTTTCCTCCTCTTCTTTGGAACCTTGCAAATGAGAAATAGGTCAATTGAGGTAACATAATAGCAGCAATTACTATGACATTAATTGACCTATATTGAAAATATGATGCCTATTGAAATGACTTCCGAGATAAGCCATATAGATAGATAAATTCATAATAATTAAGGAACAAAGTTTTTCTCTATAGGGAGTTTTCCACTTTATAAGAGTTGTTGGAGCTATATATTACTAGAGTTTATTATTTAAGTTTGACTTTATTAGTTCAACTAGTCTCTGATCAGACATATTAAAAGATCTTAAGGCATAAGAGTCTATGAGTATGTGAAAGAGATAAAATATATTCCCAGTGTCCAGAAACATTAACTGATCACAAGTTTTTCTTGCCTCCTGCTCCAGACAGAACATTATATTAAAGAAAATGATAATGAGAGAATGGTTTTGATAAGGTCTCCTTACCAACTTGTCCTGCTTTTGGCAAGGTATTTCCAAGGCAAATGTTCACTTCTCTTGGTAGTACTGGCAAAAAAATTATTTATTTTTTTGGCATTTGATGCTGGTTGGATAAAAGGTGGTAAATTTAGTCAACATCAATATGGAATATTACTTTCTTATCAGTAAAACTCAGTACAGCTTCAAATTCGCAGTGGAACCTAACTGGGGCCATAACTGTAACCTTATGAACATTTTTTTTATTGATTGTTCAAAACATTACAGAGCTCATGATATATCATCTTTCATACATTTGACTCAATTGGGTTTTGAACTCCCATTTTTACCCCAAATACAAATTGCAGAATCACATCTGTTACATACTCACATTTTTACATAATGGCATATTAGTGACTGTTGT